TTTTTTCAATAGAAAACAACTAATTTCCTGGCTATATGCCACGACGAACATTGAATTATATCTATTGAACATACACGATAAGAGTTTGAAAATAAAATATAAAAACTTCTGAAATTGAGAATTTGCATTCTCCTTCAGACAAAAATATGTATGTGCGAATTCTCAATGTATTGCTTTATATAAATATATATCCATTTTTGTATGTTCATAATTTATCTGAGAATATTCCTTTTCAACACTATCATACCCAATCAGGGGGTTCAAACTTGAACGATGGAAACTTGTGATTTTTATAGACCTCTAATCGCAGATTCGTGATAGAGTCTCAATTCAGAATTTCTTTCCACGCCCTGTATGATGAATGTCAATTTATCATACACCCAAAAGCATGGGTGACCGCTTGAGTCGTTTCTTGTCTCTTTTTTCTTCCGCTAGGTTTTTGTTTTTTAAAGAATCTTTCGATTTATATTTTTGTTATAAATATATTAATTTTCGCTGCTATGTCGCTGTTACTGATAAGTTATTAGGAGACATCTTCGCGACGTCTCAAAATTACATCTCATTTTGAAAATTTTATGCTAAAATGGGCTCTCGAGATTTTGAACATATTATTATGTATTGCGGTGGTTTTTGGGGATGCTGATTCTGAATCTGATGGAAACAGTTATCTAAAATGAGCCCTAATACCTACCATACCCCTCAACATCTGACGCTAATGGTGAATAAAAATATTCATTGTACCACATACTTCATTGTTCTAATAACATACAATCTCCACCAAAATTTCAAGAGAATCGCATCAATAATAACTGAGATATTAGGGTGTATTCATGGAAAAGATAAATGCGCAGCTTATAAAATAGTCTGTGATAGTCTGAGGAGAAATTTGCTCAGGTCTCAATAGCAGTTGAAAACTGGTGTCTCCATTGGTGTATCTCAAGTAAATAACTTTCTTTTGCACAATCTATCTATGAGATATAATGACACAATAAATCACAAGAAAAAAATTATTTTGAAAATTTTTCAAACAATGTGCGCTCCCACCATATACATTTTCAACTTTTATGGAACGTCCGGCAACATTGCAAAAGTCATTGGTACTTCCGGTGCTTGTGATCTCGCTGAAAGCATACGCTTGGGTTGGGCAATTAACCTCTGATCAATGATATACAAAAGTTTCAGGCAAACTTTGAAGCTCAATATCTTTCAAATTATTTTTTTTTTACGACAAAAATGTATTCTTATTGAATCGCTAGATTGTCTCAGCCCTAGTAATGTCCTCATCTTAGGTGATTTTACTATCACACAGTATTCTACGTATTTAAAAACGAATCAAGGCAATCGTCAAATTACAATTTTAAATATGTTATGTTCCACATGCAACAAAATTACATCATCGTGAACACTAGTAATCATATTCTTGATCGTGTTTTATTCAATAACAACTTTTCAGTAGAAACACCTTACTCAGAGAGGACATTCATCTTCCAGCTATGTTAATATCAGTAAAATTAGACTTCAATATAAAAATCCATTTCCTCTAGTTAATAACTACAAAAACTGCTACAATTTCCGTAAGGCCAACTGGGAACAGCTGTACCAGAGATTATACACACCTGGCTGTACCAAATGATTTCTTCCATTGACTGGACTTTTTGAGATGCATTCCAGGATACCGACCAAGCATGTACATACATATTTTATATAGAATATTTGATAAGTGTGTACCAAAATTAACAAATGTATGCAAAAGAAAATATTCTCCTTGGTTTACCAGAGAAATAATAAGAGATATGAAAAGAAAACATAGATGCTTCAATCCTTCAATGAATATAAACATAACAATGACACTGTAGCACATGTTTGTGTTTGTATTGAATAGGCTCCGAAACTACTGGACCGATTTGAAAAATTCTTTCACCATTAGAAGCCGTCATTATCCCTGATGAACACAGGCTACTTTTTACCGCGGGAAAATGCTTGATTCTTACGGGAAAACAAGTAATAGGACAACGGGTTATCCTTCCGTACTTATCTTTTTCACATAACTTCTAAACGGCTGAAATGATTGGGTTGAAATTTTATATGGGTATTTCGATGGTTTCCTGGATGATTTGAAAATTTAAATGGGCGCGGTAGGTGGCGCTGCTGTCGGTACGTCAACTACTAAACGGCTTGACCGATTGGATTGACATTTTGTATGTGTATTTTCATGGTTTCACGAACTGAGAGAATGAAAATAGGTGTAATATCTTATAAAACGTATGTCAATTGAAAATGAAATTGGTAATAATCCTAATAATAGCAAAAGAGGTACAAATAACGTCAGTGATAATATGGTATATATAACGATAATAATCTTGATACACCACTACACCAGGCGATATTGTTAACGCATTTGCTGATTTCTTCAGCAGTTCTTTTGGGTCAATGTCTAATACACTAATAGTTGATAATAATGACTTCATGCCGAATAATTCACTTCATATACAAGAATTTGCCTGAAGACCAAAATTGTTCCGTCTTCTTGGAAGATTTCTAAAGTATGCTCAATGTGAGTAATATTTGATCCAAAACTTTTATTTGTAACGCACATCGCACAAATATCGTCAGCTGCCAGCAAATCCTATGGTTGTATAGTTCGATACCCCAGTAACTCTCAGAAGTCTGTCACCAATTTCACACCTATCTCTTTCATCTGTTATTTCGGCAGGGTATTCAAAATCCTCTTACAAAAAAAATATTTACTTCCAAGTTGAAAATAGTCTGTCTATTTATCAACACGCTTTTATGAGAAGTCGCTCTACAACATCCAACTTATTGCATGTCACTACGCATATAGCAGAGGATCTGGATTTCTCTAAAGCTTTTGACAGACTAGATCACAGTATATTTTTTTTCTATGTTCTGGTTCCCACGAAAAGGGATATCCTGTAATGTTCAGAGAACATCGTGAGAACCAAGGAAAATAAGGTAGGAACTGGTGTTCTTCTTAAATTCCTGGAGGTTTTATGCCTTGGGAAACACCTCTCTTGGCAATGTGTTCCAGAGCCTCGCTGTTCGTTGGATGAACGAGTCTTTGGAAAGAGATGTTCTGCAGGTCTCCAAAGTGACCACGAAGGGGTGCGAACCCTCAACTCGAGGGGTTATTCTCGCGGGGACTGCCAAGGGAGGTACAATTGTTGATATTCCAGAAGACGAAGAGCATCATCCATGAAAATATCTATAAAATAGAGCCAGATCGCCAACTTCTCTACGGTGTTCCAGAGAAGTGAGTGAGTTTGTGAGCGAGGCATCACCCACGAGACGAATTGCCTTTTTATGGACAGAATCCAACAGTTTCAGGGTATGTGTGGGTGCTGCACTCCAAATATGGGAACAGTATTCCAGGAGAGGTCGGATCTGTGCCTTATAGATCATTAGCAGCTGACTGGAAGTGAAATAGCTCCTGGCCCGAAACAGAAAACCAAGTTTTTGGGATGCACTTTTAGCAATTGATCTCACGTGATTTTCCCAAGAAAGGTTATTGCTGATAGTAATACCAACCATCGAAATGGGTGTCTTCAAAGGTATGGTTACTCCTTACATGCTTAGGATCCCCCCCCCCATTCGAGAAATGTTGCTGTTTCTGATTTGCCTAGCTATTATTGGAGCCCTGGAAGAGAAGACGGTATGGAGGGAACTATCATCCGCGAAGCTGTGTACTGGACATGAAGTTGCTTTCAACAAATCGTTGATATGTGGTAGAAATAGTGTTGGTGCTAGAATTGCTCCTTGCGGAACACCAGCATTTATGGTAAGAGAGTCAGATGAAACTCCGTCCACCACTACATGGAGAGACCTGTTCGAGAGAAAACTAGCTATTAGAGAACATAGCTGGGGAGGCAAGCCATAACATGGAAGCTTGGCGAGGAGTCCGTGGTGCCAGACTCGATCGAATGCTTTGGAGATAAGTGCCACGGCTAAGGTTTCACCATATTTTTCAAAAGATTGCTGCCATATATGTGAGAGTAAGCGAGCAGGTCACCAGTTGATCTCTGATGACGGAAGCCATATTGCCTATCGTTGATAATGCCTGAATGTTCCAGGTATTCCATGAGCTCGATGTTGATAGCTCTCTCCATGATCTTTGAAATGATAGATAGCAGTGCGATCGGTCTGTGGTTGCTAGGTAGGGTCTTTTTGCCTTTTTTAGGCACTGGTTGTACTCTTGCAATTTTCCAGTTGTACGGGAATATCCCCAATTAGTAAGAGTTGTTCAACAACTTGCAGAGAACAGGTGTAAGATCAGGAGCACATTTCTTGAGAACAATCGGTGGGATTCCGTCGGAGCCACAAGCTTTGTTGGTGATGAGACCCAATATTATTGAATGAACTATCTAAAATTGGTTTCTCTTCTCATTTGGTAGAAGTATTCTCACAAAGAGAGAGAAACTCAAAGTCATGACCACAATAGTTCATAAAATGAACGAAAATGGTAGATAACGTGAGAAAACAACTACTTTCCTGACTGTATGCCACGCAGAATGTTCGATTACATCTTCACGAAATCTATGCAATAATTCGTATAGACGAATAAAATCGCAAGTGTTTCCTTCCTAAATGCCGAGCTACACCTAAGTGGTTCAGGAACGGTTACTACCTGCAGACCGGTTTCGAGCTGTTGACTCTCATCAGTGCAGGGCTGTCCCAGATAGCATTCTTGACCGCTATCTGGTGTGAACCTGACCCAACGTAAAAGCATCTCAGCTTTTATACCCCACGAGGCAGCAATCTTCGTTTGGAATTCGTTGGTGTAGATGCACGAAATATCAACTGATTCATAGTGTAGTGCATTTTACACTACACTGAAAAGCAGACGGAAAAACCTATTATTATTATTATTATGCAGAAAACCTCATATTACGTTTTATGTTGGAAGCCAGAATGATCGATGTAGTGTGCGCAACTGCCGGCAGGCACTAATACGTTCGTGTTATTCTTCACTATTCCCGCGAAAATTGGAAACAAATTTGTTGACAGAGCGGGCTGTCATCTTATTTACTTTGTTTATGCTTCTTTTGTTTTCTTTTGAAGAGAAATCGAGAGCGTCGGGAAGTGTGCGGCTTTTTCTTATAGTTTCATTGTAAAGTGTTGATTTGAGTTAAAAATGAGTCGCCAGAGCACTTTATTCAGCTTCTTTTCACCACGATCCCAAAAAAATGATGATAACGAGAGAGACAATGAACAGGGGCCGCCAGACGAGAAGCCTTCTACTTCTACTAGTCTTGGCGTTTCTCAAGGTATTTCTTAGAATCCGTTGATTTGATAAATGTTATGTTATGTTCATACTCATTTCGAGTCATTGCTTTCATTGCTATCAGTAATTTTCATGTTTTTTTGCTGTTTCTGAATGTATAAAGTGCTGGAGACTCCACAGATGAGACTGGAGTTTCATAGTTTGAACATGATCTAAGACAGTCACTTGTGAAATGGATTTTGTGTCATTGCTTAAAATTGTATTCTTTATCATATTATTACTGAATACAAAGTAGGCATAGTTTAATGATTTCATATAATATGCTGCTATTAACCCAGCCTAACCAAGTTCACGGGATAGAGCCGGGTCACTAGTCTACTTATCCCTGATACTCGAAACTCACTAAGTCAAAAGATACCGAAATTCAGGTTATGGTGGAACTGGATAAGTCTGATAATCATTCAATGTTCAGTAAATCTTATTGGGTCATGGAATATTCCTAAGTTCTATTATTTTCCATAAATATTACTCATCAATTCTTTTCTAAACAATTATTTCATATAGAATCTCAATAAGTTGCTTAGTGAATTTTTGCTGGACTAGATATTTAAAGGCTCCTCCACTATGTAACATAGTTAGCAGGAGTTCGATTAGGTGCCTATTTGTTTGTATGGAAGGTTATTTCTCTCAAAACACCAAGACCTGGAAAAGGAGCAGTGACGGCCCCATGGGGGGAGGTTCACCTCCCCAATCCTAGGCGAGTTGGCAAATTGAGTTTGGGAAAGTCTCCCAAAAAAAATTTTATGATGAATTTTTTTTTCTGACTTCAAATTAGGGATTTCCTACTCGAAACTAAGAATTTCCAACTTCAAAAACATGAAATTTCGATTATGTAGTTAGAATTTCCAAGTTTAATCATGAAGGAAAATTACATTACCAGTTCAAACCAGGAACTTCCAACTGCAATCTAGAACTTTCTGACTGATTGGTAGAGAATTTAAAGCTTGAAGTAAAAAAAAAACTGTTAGTGTCACCATGTAGTATCTGATGAATCATTTCATTTGATTTTTTGTTTTTTCATAGCTGCACCATGGCTTGGGACATTTCTTGTCAGTATTTGGATAATAATCATTCAAAATCATTTTAAGCCTATCAAAATTGCATATAAAATTAGTTAAACTGAAATATTGCAGCCATCCATGTCATATACCCACAATGGAACATAGGTAATCAGGATTTCAGTTTGAAATGAGTAGGTATATCTCGAAATATTATAAATTGAACAACTGTATACATAATTTTGCAATGAAAAAAATAATATAATAATAATATAGATAATTTTCAATGTATTCAGTTAAAAGTGATTGGCTAAGAAAGTGAAGTAGAATGTGTATGATTTGTTTCTATATTAAGTGAGACATTGAATGAGATGAAACTCATCAAGAGTCTAAAGGAAACAACATACAATAATTGTATGATAGCTGCTGTAGCTGGGACAAAAAAAGTAAGTAGCAAACAGTTAGAAGTAACTCCAAGAAATACCCGGAATTACAAAGTTGAACACATCATCTTATTTCTATTTGGAATTACTGCAGGTATACATTTTTAAGGAACACAGAATAATCTCAACTTTTATATCTCTTATGAGAAGTGAGTCAGTGCATCTCTTATATCTCTTATTAGAAGTGAGTTAGTGAATATCACATCAACCTAGTTTTGTTTTAGGTATGTTCTCAAATCATGTGAGTGTTAGAAACTCTGTTGTGGAATTCAAAATTTTCCAGGTATGTTGTATTATAAGAACTAAGTTGTGTTTTTAGTATTCAGATACAGTAGCATCAAATTAATCTAGTTGATTTTTCATATAACTTTCTGAAGCAGAATATTTTAGTTGGTTTCCAGCTTTTTTGCAACATCCTGTCCTTCCTTCATTCATGTCTTGAATGATCCAATCACTTCCAGCAAATCCCTAATAATGGAATTATCATTTGAATGGTTTTCGTAGCAGAGTTGCCTGATGTTCTTTTTATATATTCTTTACTGAATTTACATTACACTCCACTTAACATGAAGATATTTTCTCATGATTTAAGTATTCCTTTGTTTGCATATATAAAATATATGGTATTCAGAGACATAACAGTGACTGTTTTTTTCATAGATATCATCACAAGTGATCATACATCAACAATAATTAAAATTAAGAAATTTGAAATTGTTCAAAGGGGTGACTGGGAAGTCATTTGACGTTCTCATCAAAGTTGTAATCGTTGTATTGAAAATTCTTCACCAAATACGAAAACATATTTTATTTGTATATTTTTGAAAAGATATTGTAGAAAGTCAAGTTGCATTTTAAATATTATGATTTTTTTCTGTGTAAAATAAATATAGAATGTTCGTTATACAGCTGCACTTCAGTCTCTGCTCAAAGAACCTTAAAATAGCCTTAAATTGTTGTCCACTCAATATTCTTAGCTTAACAATTAAGCTAGCAGAACAATATCTCAAATAGAAGGAATATAAAAATATTGAGAACACAATAATTTAAGGCTATTTTAAGGCTCTTTGATAAGCATGTCATCGATTTTGTTGTTCATCATTTTTTGCAAAATTTTTCCCAAATCTAGCTGCAGGACCATAGTTAAAAAAAAAACAACGAAAAACACTGCAATAGGCTAGGATTTTTGTGATTGAACTTTTTTGGTTTGCTATTAGTTTGTTATGTTTATGTTTATGTTGGATTTGGGAAAATTTTTACAGAAAATGATCAACAAAAACTTCGATAATGGGTTCAATGAAGAGCCTTAAATTAGCCTAAAATTATGGTATACTCAAAATTATTATATTCCTTCTATTTGAAATTTGGTTCGCTAGCTTAACGGTTAAGCTAGCATAAGCCATAAATAAAAAAAAAAAACGATGTGCGAAAAAATCCGAAATAGGCTAAGATTGGAGCCTTAAATTATGGTATAATAAGTTTTGTGATTGAACTTTTTCGGTTTGCTATTGGTTTGTCATGTTTATGTTGGATTTGGGAATATTTTTCCAGAAAATGTACACCAAAAAATTCGATAATAGGTTCAATGATAGCTAGCCTTGAATTATGGTGTACCAAAAATTATTATAATCCTTCTATTTGAGATTTGGTTCTGCTAGCTCAAAGGCTAAGCTAGCAGGAACATGATTTAAAAAAAAACAAGGCAAAAATCGGCAATAGGCTAGGATTAGAGCCATAAATTAGCCTTAAATTATGATATAATTAGTTTTGTGATTGAACTTTTATTAACGAAGTGATTCTGCTAGCTTAACGTGAAGCTAGCAGAACCAACGTTTTTTTGCATTTATCGAAGAGGAATAAATTCGGCAATAGATTAATAAATTAGCCTTAAACCTTGAATTAGCCTTAAGGCCGATGACCAAATTGAAAAATCCCAATTGGTTCTGCTAGCTTGATAGGGGTATCAATTCAATTTATTCAGAAAATAAAGTGTACAGATAATATTGATAACATAGCCAAGCTGCAGAAAGTCCAATATCTTATATTTCCTTTTGTACTCCCTTATAAATTACAGTCATCACATTTGTCCCATCATATTATTCAGATGTTAATGTTGATTAAACATTGATTAAACATTAATTGAATGTTTTAATGGTACCATTGGTACCGCAGTGTCGGCACCTGCACTTGTCATATTTTATAAATCCCATGATGAACTTTTTGTTCTGTCACAATTGCAGTTTTTGATATGGGATTGATTGAAATAATAATTACATATTGATGTTCTGGTCCTGGTTGGTGGACCCGGAGCCCCTCTGAGAGACGTCCCTCCCCTCCGCAACATCGGGGTAACTACGATACTGATATGGTTACATTATATATATCAAAATAGATTTCTAGACATGCAGATGTTTTTTTCATACAATATCAATAGGAATTCTATCATGTGGTATGCCGGTCCTATACAAATTACAAATTTGTTACTTCAAATCCTATATTCCACTTGATATTCTATGTATTTTTTATAGTTCAAACTAACATCAACATCGTGAATGTATGGGACCATCATTCAATCTTAATTGCATTTTTGAATGGAATATTTTACCGAAAGTTAAATCAGAATTCACTGATTTGAATAAAAAACGGAATTTTGTCAGAACCGCAATAATTTATTTCAAATTTTCAGTTTAGAAAGATTTTAATGCATTAGATCACAATCTTGGTTGATGCTGGTTTTAATTCTGAATTCTACTGAAAGTAAATTCTATTCATGGTTTATTAATTGAAACATTTTTTTCTACGGATATGTTGTGTTCTTTCCTAACTGTTTTTGCTCCTTTTCTGTATGATGAAACGAAGATTTCTTCGTGTTATCGAAGGTAATACCACGTCCTTCAAATTGTATCAATAATTTTTTTCAATTTTCTACGAAAACTTTTATTCGGCAAAAATATGAAAACAAACCGATTGATATAGTTACGAGGCCGTTATTACGAGTGAATTTATCTAATTCCGTTTGTTTGAAAGATTTTGCCACACAAAAAATTTATCGGTTAATATTTCAGGGATAAGTTGTATTTGTTAAAAACACTAGCAACTTTTACTAATCAAATAAATTGTACGTTCTATCATTATCAATCAAAAAATGGTTGTAAGGGTGATGTGTGTTGCATACATTTGCGGCGACTACAAGCGAGGATAATATGATCTTCGAGAGAAATAAAACATCTTTGTGTTATCAAGTTGAACAACGATTAAAAAAGTTGAGTTTTGTTTCCTCTCTGAAATGATAATTTATTTTATTGTTACTCATACTTATGATAGATCAAAAGAAACAAGGTTTTACCGAGGACCAAGCAGTGTTATCATTATAATACCGAATAATTGGCTAGAATTAGGCATTGTTATTGGTTGAAACAAGGAAAACGTCACATTATGTCACCACGCCATCACGTTATGAATATTCTACTGATTACAGCTCTGTTCAATCAAGATTGTAGTAAAACGTGTCAAACTATCGATTTTGAATTTTGAATTGATAT